GGCATGATTTGTTTGAGACGAAACTATGATAGGAGGATCATTAGGCTGCATGTTAGATAACAGAATTTTCAACGCAATCACAGAAACGTGTGTTTTCCCGGTGCCCGGGGGCCCTTGGATGATCGCTAACTTTTTGGTGAGGATCCGCTCCAGAGCTGCCCACTGTGACTTGTCGAGATCACCTGTTGGCGATTCTGGCCAACCTTCCAAGAGGTTGGTTTTTGCCTCTTCGTCCGCTCGGCCAATAACTGACTGGATGTTCACATTAGGGGATTCTTTGACATAATCCGGGGCATCAACATCGGGATCCAGGCCGCATATGTGATCTGCTAAAGGGAACCTGATGCGGGGATCAGCTAGTTCTGAGTTACTTTTCCAGTTATGTTCACTGACCTTTCGCGGTTTAGTCTTTGGAGAGCAGTCATGGTATGTCTCATAGCCTCGTAGTAGCCTGTTTTGGCTTCTACCATAATCCATTCCTGATGAGGATCGAAATCGGCGTCCTCGGGCTGAGCAAAGAAGATATCTATTTCCGGAGGCTCTTGCTTGACCCCTTCCAATGGTCTCGCAGCAACAACAGCAATGACACACTTGCTTCGGAAAAAGTCACTTGCAGGAGACAGTGCAACAACCGATCCAGTAATTAACCGTTTAGAGTATTCCCAAACAATCTTCTTTCCAGATCTGTTAGTGGAGAATCGGATTCGGAATGCAATGCCCGTTTGGGCGAATGTGATGCCAGTCATGTAAACCTAAGCCAGATTCTGGTAAGCAGCTATCCGATTTTCCTGAGGATGTGAAGCAAGAGTGAAGACTAACCTTCTCGTATATCGATACAGCTTGAGAGTCCACCATCTGCGGGTCATTACGGACGTAAGCCACAGCATCTCGCAGTGGAGCAACAGCATCCTCTCGAAGGAGTTCATAATGTGCTCTCAAATATGTTTCTTTCGAGCTCCAGGGACCTTCTATCGTGTTAGGCATGAGCTCCACACACTCTTCGTCTGAAGATGCCGGTAGAATCTCTTCAGGTGTTGGTATCTCCGGCTTTTGGAGCCAAGGGTCTTTCTGTCCATGAACCTGTTTGCGGCAATATTCTCTGATCGCTAGGTTGGCTTCAGGATTGGGACTAATGGACAGGTTCGTCAGAGTCTCGTGAAGTCCTTCTGAGGAGTATGTAATAGGTTCATCTTCTGAATCCATCTTGGCTATAGCCGTCATGAGCGTTAACGAGAAAAGGCTATGCAGGACAGGAATAAGTTGGATGATGAGTTTGAAACTTTAGTAGACAAAAACGAATTGCTATTCGGCGAGTTGAGGATCAAACAGTATTGGGTCCTAGCTGCAAAACATAGTGAAGTTCTCATACAATGGAAGAGAGAAGTGAAGGGGAAATCAAGTCTGTATTCACAAGGATGAGGAAAGAGTGGCAGTCTTCATTGAACAACAATTCCGAGAAGGAAAGAGTTGGGATACAATGGAAACAATAATGAGATGCAAACGAAAATCAAGCTGCCCTATCAGTCTGTCGTGTCTTCATCACCCTCTTTCTCCTCTTTTGTATTGAACAAGCGTCTCTGCACAGACGCTCATCTGAAGTTATTAGCCCAGCATCTTTCGCAGAACTATATCTTCCTTTAATTCCAGGCCTTTCTGTATTCCATAGCGGTTATCATCCCATATAAATAAAAGCTTTTCTATGCCAACAATGAGAACTGTGTGGCTATGCTTGGATGCGAACAGCCTTTGACAAGTTTGCATGCATAAAATATACTGAGATAAGCAGACTCGGAATATCCCTTCAAGTACATTGTGCCATCCCAGACTTATTTCTTTGGATCCCGTCAGCTATACAGGTTGAAGGTTCCATATCGTTTGCAATCCGCTGTTTGCCCTTGTGATAGTTCACTATCCTGACAGGCCCAGATCAATTGTTCTCTCTTTCTGATTGGTTTAGACCATTTGCTCAAAAACAAACAAACAAAGAAAATGAAAAGAAACGAAAAAAGAAAAGTAATCGAAAGTCAGTTGGAGATCATTGGACGGGAAAAGTATTCTGAGGTTTCCGGCGATTCTGATATCCCATCAAGGCGCTAACCCAAGATAGGCAGTTGTGGCCTTAGGCAGGAAGTGGGTAATCAACGTGACTGACATCTGGGGAATTCAATGGATATTGGCCTATTCTGTCGGAGAAAGGATTCATGGCTTCATTAGGCGCATGAATAGAAAGTCCCGTATCAATCCTAGGTTTTCATACTGTGGCTACTGGATTTATTTCTCCAAAGCCCAGGAGAAGTGATTTCATGTTCGAATCGAGCCATGAGTCCATAATTCGCAGCAATTCCTCCACCCAACTCAAGAGGCATCACTGCGCCTTATCGCAAATCCCAACCGTTCGGACTGTATAGCGATTGACGCATCGAGAATTTGCTCCAGCTCATAAATTCGGTGTTTGCGACACAGAATCTCAGGAGCAAGGGGTTTTGCGACGTCAAAATGACCTCAATTGGGGACGACGATGATCGAGATCTTGCGGGTGAGCCCTTCACCCGTTATCCCACGATTCTTGAAACAGTTACTGATAGCCAGGCGACATAGGCTCGCAAGATGGAAGCTCGGACGACGAAATGGAAGACGCTATGAGAGATGCAGATGACGCAGGGAATGATAATGATGCCGATGGAGACGCCGACGCCGATCAAGATGCGGAAAGCCCGTCGAATACCAGCCGCGCATCCGAAGGGCCTGGTATCGCATCTCAAGCGAATCCTAATATTCCAATGACCTCCCCTGACTCTACAAACATCACATCCGACTTGGCCTCCGTATTTCACCCTCAAGTTCGTCCAGAATGTCTAACAGCATCCACTTACGACGTAGTACCGACCACGGCCGCCCCTCATAGTACATCGATAAACGCAGTGACAGCAACAGCCGACATGCGATGGGTATTTAGCGGAGGGTCTGATGGATATGTACGAAAGTTCAATTGGGTCGATTCAATCAACAGCAAATTGATGCTGACCGTGGCGCAACGACATCCCTTTGTCGATAGCGTAATGAAGGCGGGCGTGTTGATGACATATTGGGAGTGCATGGATGGGAACGCAGTGTCACCAGTATATTCCCTAGCTAGCCATAGCGAAGGTCTATGGCTATTATCGGGGTTGGAGTCAGGCAGTATCCGTCTGCAGTCAGTTCGTCATGAGGAGGGGAAAGAGATCGCTCTCCTGCAACAGCATACTTCGGCCGTCTCGGTACTGCATCTGACCCCAGATGAGAAGTCATTGCTATCCGGGAGTTGGGACAAGCGAGTGTTTGACTGGGATTTGAATACCGGACAGACGCGGCGTGTCTTTGGTGCCAGTGCCGGGCAAATCGCGGCGATCGAGATTCGGCCGGAATCCACTATTCCTGTTCCAAAAGACGTATCGGAGCTGCCTCAGACGAATGGCACCTACTCATCAAACTACCATGCCAGCGGAACGGAAAGCTTCAATCTCGTGGATACGTCGAACGATTTAGGTGAAGGTGGCGCTGCTTCAAACCCGCAGGCGGGATCCCCAGCAGATTCACTCTTTGGCGGGGCCGATTCATTGTTTGGCGATGCAGATGGTGGGGGTGGTGAAGGTGCGGGGACGTCGGGAAATGCGTTTGGAATAGACGAGGATGATGAGTTTGGCAAAGCTCTTGCCAACGGCATTCTTCCGGATGCCGATGCTGATGCCGATGCACATGGTGAGCCCGACGTGACGGATCAACAAAATGGGACTGCAGCCGGCAACGCAAGTGCCGATGCTACCACGACGAACCCAATGACCGAATCTCTGGGGACTGAGCTTCCAAACGTTTCATCGCAGGCAGTGACGAACGGTCTACCACACGCGGAGGAATTAGAGCCACCTTCACAGACCCAAGAGTCTGCTGCATCAACACAGCAAGAGCCGAATGTAGTAACAGATCACACCTTCCTGGCTGCGTCCATCGACGGCACAATCAGAGTATGGGACAGACGGCAAGCCGACCCTGTTGCTCGAATCACACCCTACAATTCTCCACCATGGTGCATGAATGCATGCTGGTCTCCGGACGGGAATTATATCTATGCAGGGCGTCGAAATGGAACTGTGGAGGAATTCAGTCTTCATAAAGGTCTACGAGAGCCTGAGAGGACCTTTAAATTCCCCCAGGGGAGTGGACCGGTGACGGCGCTCAAGGCGATGCCCAATGGGCGACATATTGTCTGGTGAGTAGTCTTTCTATCTATCCTCGTTAGCTACTGCAGTACCTTACCATCATGGCATCTGGCTGACCAATTGATTTCAGTGCGTCGCATGATATTCTTCGATTATACGATTTGAAACACGAACAAGTCACCCGCCATTCTGGTGTACCTTTTCTCATCATCCCTGGGCACCGCACAGGGACTATATCACAACTATATATTGATCAGGCTTGTCGGTTTATGATCTCGACAAGTGGTAATAGAGGCTGGGAAGGCAATACCACCGAGGTTTTGCTGGGCTACGAGATCAACGTTCCTCGATGATTTTTTTTCCTTTTCTTGCCATGTATAATATATATCCCGGCAGATTTCTGCCATCTTGTTCGCTCCGCGTTCGAGTGTCAATGTTTCTTTCTGTTGAGGCTATCTTGAAGGGGAACCGGATCACGGCATTCATTGATTGCATGTGCTGGCCATTGTTCATGATAGCGCAACGAACGGCATTGGCCATCTAGACCAGTCTCTTAGACTATACCTAGTGTTTACTTATACTAAATCTTAAAATTTGGCAAACCCTTCCGAAAATAAGGTATACGTGTTATGGAATGATCAGATATTTCGTATTTGCATTCGTGTATATATATAAGTAGGTAGAACACTCCTAACTTTCCCAAATTGTTAACGCCCGTAAACTGTAATTATACCCAAACACCTTCCAAGAACCAAACCAAGAGCACGCAAGATGGTCACACGAACGGTCATAAGAAAAACGTTGCTAATCATGAGCGATTTCATCAAAGTCGACGCCTTCGCAAACTTCATGTTGCTGTGCTCTCCAGGCACCGAACAACGGATTCTGTGCCCACTGAACATGACCTTCCCCATCCTGCTCAAAGAAGACATACCCAGGCTCATCGTCGGGTTCATTACCCTTGTCCTCAGGTGAGTGAACACCCCTGGGACTGGTGACCAGACCCCCGAAGCCCGGGAGAGCCACATTAGGGATATGGCCTCGCGCCTCAATCTGTCCGTTCTTCACGTTGTTGACCGTGATCAGGTACACGGGCGGAAGAACGGCATCACGGTCCGGCCTAAGAGGCATGGGGATCCACGCTTCATTATTGAAGGACTCGGGACGATTCTTGTCATATTTCAGGGGCAAAGGCCGGGAGAGGAGCATCTCGTCTAGCTTGCCAGTGTCGAGCAACAGACCGGGTGTTCGGACATATAGCACACTGTCGTACTGCATGAACTGGATCTGCCCTAGACGAAGAAGCTTGGTATCTGTCGGTTTGTAGCCTGCGGACGTGGCCGCGGTCATGTCGATGGGGAGAAGCCAGACGTTGTCCTTGGTGCTTGCGGCTCGGAGCAAAGAAAGAGCTGTTGTGACGGAGTGCGAGACCTCGTCTGATGACAGCAGATCCCATTCCCGAGGATACATAAATAATCGGTCATTTATTGCTGTGCCATTTGTGGCGAGTTGTTTGAAGAAGAGGATTGCGGAGCAGATATCGGATGGATTGGGGGAGGACAGGAGTTGCAGATATGCGTAGTTGCCTCCTGCTCCAGGCTGCGCATGATGCGAGACATGTTTTTGCTGCTTCTCAGGAATCAGATCTGACAGAAAAATTTGCTCCCGTTTTTGAAATGACGACGCTGCTGATCCATGGCCGGTGATCGGATCTGGACCCCCGGGAGGTCGAAGAGCACTCTGGATGCTTCTGACAGACTGCTGCTGGAGAACGTAGCCGGACAGAAAAAGAAGAAGAGTAAATAGGCAGACCACACCAGTGGAGAGGATGACTGAGATTGTTGAGGAGGTCAGAAGCACCATGATTGTGTGTAACTTGAAGTGCGCATCAGATAACAATGCATAAATTAAGTATCTACTCTTATCATAAAGAAATAACAGTGGAGAACGCTTAATAAATACTTAGGTGCCTATATTTGTTGTTTACTTTAAGGTTGTGACTTGTTTTCCCTGGTTGTGACTAATTTGTATTAGTAAGATAGAGACTTAGAGTAAATAATAGTTATTTAGTAGACTAAGACTAGATTAGGGTTGAATAAGAAGTATACTACTCTTATAACTTTTTATTTTAATATTATTCTAAAGCTATAGTAATACTATTTTAGATTCTTTAATATCTTAAAAGGAAAATAATATTAATACTATAAGATAACCATAATCTAGTGCTGAAAATGGTTACTTCTGATGCCACTTTAAGCATCCATTTTAATAAGAATCTTAGTTACTATAATGCATGTGATCCAACATAACCCACTTTTAGTATATACTCACTGAGCACTCAGGGTTGCTCAGTGATCAGCTCACCCTTCACTCAGTGTGCTCAGGGAAGATGATCAGTGTGTCATAATGGCCTGCATCAAAAGAGAGAGAAGTGTCTTACTACTCTCTGGGTCCTTCTGAACTCCAGTCTTTACAGTTTCTTTTCGTCATTCAGTTGTTCTTCTGTGGCATCAGTACTTGCCCACGTTCTTTGGCCGAATCTGTTATTTCCTGAGGCATGTCTATTTTGAACTATCCTGCTTCAAGGATGAAGCAAATCTGCAGCCCCGAGTATTATCGACGGCGTCGCCAGCAACTGGAGAAAGGTATTGTCCTCTATGCAATAGTCGCTACCGGTACTGGCGAACCATATTCACATTAGATTCAAGAAGTGCCTTTATTAAGAGCAATGATGAAGCTAGAAAGGGATGTGCTAGATGGACTCCCCCTCTATATGAGCTACCTTTTCCAGCCTGTGGTATCCCCGTTCCAATTTTTGTTACGCGATTCATTCGAAGAGGGTTTCGCGAGGCCATAGCGCGCTAGGGCTTCAGGACCGATCTTGATGTTGCTCCGGTCTTTAGGTTCGTCGTTAATGCCGTAGATGTAACCGATGAAGTAACTGAGGAGAACGGAAAATGTTGGTCCACTTATTTGACATAAAACACAACATGTAATAACATACAGGGTGCCTGTTTGACTGTGCCAGACTAGCTTAGAGAGACTGGGCGTATAAGGTCCATACCCTTTCTCGAGCGCCTGACTAAAGTTTATCGTTAGCATGATCAGGAAACGGGAGGATCGACATACGGAAGAGCCTCCATAAAGGCCATACGGACATGTTCCCTCTCGACAGCGGACAGAGTCCAGTATGGATCATTCCCAAGCTTGTCACCGAGGCGTAGACCTGGGACCATTTCCCAGGCCAGCCAGATCGCAAACCCATTTGGGACCAGCCCTGACTTATCTTGAGTGCTGACCTTGTATCCTAGGAGCTTTGGTACATTGCTGAAATCCTTCTGAGTAAACTCCTGGTAGCCAGTTAACTCTGGGGGCGTGTATGTTGTAGCCTGGCGGGATCTGGTCTTCGGATCTTGTATCTCAGTGTTCTTAAAAGGAACCTGAAGATAAACTCGCATGAAGACTTTCCTGGAGGGCTTCTTTGGATCGCAACAGAGGAGTTTAGCCGTAGCGTAAGAGTAGTGGCCATGGCGACGACGCATTTCTTCACTAGCCTGGAAGTTACGCTCATTGAGCTTCTCGAGGATCTTCCACTGCGAAGGGACAGGTTGATCGAGGGTGATGATTGTGCCAGGGTCTGTTCCTTGGTGGAACCAGCGCGAGGATGGGGACGACATTGTTGTAAGAAGGTTGAAGAATCAGGAAGTTGAAGAAAGAGAATGTTGCGGTAGGAAGAGTCCTGAGTTAGAGATGGCGAATGAATAAAGAGGTGAAAGGAAGAGTCAGAAGGTGGCAGGAGAAGTAGGTATTATTGCCTATCTAGGCTCACTACCCCAACCACGGCCATGTCCAAACCCAAGAGTACCTACCCACAGCAGACAGTATTCCGAAACCATCACCAGAAAATATCATCAACCCTATTGCTTCAAACTTAAGTAAGTCAGTAATATCTTCAGCTGCTAGCTTGAATTTTAAAGGCATTAAGGGCTTTAGGCTGGTCACGCGGTTTAGCTTTCCAATGTACATATTTCTAAACCAGAGTTATATTTAGGGATCCAAGGTGATGTCAGAAAAGGGTCAGTGGGTTCGGCCAAGGAGATACTTTAAGGGAATACACTTTGCTATCCTTGAAGCATTCATTTATAATAATAGTTCTTTTCGGATTATACTACTACAGGGAAGATAAAGTATATATATGTGTTGATGTTCCTGAGATGCACGAAAGACAGCGACGCAAGAACTGAGCATCTAGCACATGACTATAAACACCACCATACACAATTAAATCATATAGCATAAATCATCAACATTGTCTATTGATAAAAAGGTCTGTAATTTGAAGCCACCAAACCTGCTAACAGCAGACCTGAGACACAGGTTGCATCACCAGCTCCTCCGCTTACCTCTCTGCTGGTTGTCCGTGCGACTATCGATAAGAGTCCGTCTTGGCACAGCCTCAGCGCACAGCCACAGCTGATCTTCCTGCTTTTCAAAGTTTCGTCTTTTCTTCGCGGGCAACCTTTGAAGTCGCGTCCACATCGGCATTTTCCGATTTTATTCAACATGTCCTCCCATCGTGCTGATGCGAGTACCCTCCTTGACAATCGTGGCTATTCAGGGCCGCTGGTCCGCGGTGTCAACCCCGCCACATTGTTCGAGAAAGCCGTTCGCGACCGCATTACGGACTCATATTACTGGAAAGAGCAGTGCTTCGGTTTGAACGCAGCAACACTTTGCGATCGCGCAGTCGAATTGACATCTATCGGCGGTACATACGGTGTCGCCGAGAAACCCACTCCGTTTCTCTGTCTTGCGTTCAAGTTGCTGCAACTCAACCCCGATCGTGAAATCATCTTGGAATATCTCAACTACACCGATCCGGGCAGTGACGAAGAGACAGAGGCCGCGGCGGAGGATCAGGCTCGAAATGGCGTGATTGGACAACGGGGGGACTTCAAATACCTCCGCGCCCTGGCGGCGTTCTACGTGCGTTTGACCTTTGACCCGGTCGACGTCTACAAGACACTGGAACCTCTCCTTCTCGACTACCGGAAGCTGAAGCGACGAGTACGCGACACATTTGTGCTTACCTATATGGATCAATTTGTCGACGATCTTCTGACGAAGGACCGTGTGTGCGGTACTAGTCTTTGGAAGTTACCGGCACGCCAGCAGTTGGAGGATCTGGATTTGTTGGACGAGCGCATCAGTCCATTGGCGGACGAACTGGAAGAATTGGATAATGAGAGCGACCAAGGCAGCCATGATAGCGAGTCACGGTCTAACGGGGCCGCTGGGGACGAGTGAGCGCGTCACTGGGCCCCATAATCGACATCTCGAAAATTTCTTGACACACTACAATTCTTGGCCGCCATTGTCCCTCAATATACGGACTGATGCGTACCCCGTTGCGAATTCAGCTCCTCACGCACTCGCGCCGCTGAGTGGCGCGAGCTAGACAGGGCAGGGGGCGTCTCATTATCAAGCGCTCAAGGCATCCTCGTCGCCAGGTGCCTATTGAAGCTATCCAGAGTCACAGTCGAAGCTTAAGGAAGCACAGTCAATATCATTTATTGCTGGAACTTCCTTTGCAAAACAGCGACCTCCGATCGAGTTCAGAACTCTATGCCAAACCTCATCAAACCGCCACCAGGTGATGATCTTGGGGCTGAATGACGAATATTCTTGCTTTAATATACCCTCGACTCTACATATCATGTAGGTTATGTTCTTGTTTGCTGTAGGTATGTGTATAGCTAGAAGCAGCTTGGTATTGATAATAAAGATTATACAGAAGCACCAAGAACATCATTTGGACCACTTCAAACAAACTAATCAAAAACCTTGCTGGCGATGCCACTTGTCCTCCCAGTTCCTGAACCAAGGGCTCTCGTCCAATGTAGCCACTTGCCAATTTTTGTCTACGAGACCTTGCTCCTCCTGCTCCTTAGCCCATTGCTCAAGCTTCGGAAGCACGATATGCTCCACGTGCCATGTATTCTTATATTTCATCAGGTTCTCTTTTCCTTCTTTGAGAACCTTGGCTACCAAGGCTGGTACGCATGGTTCATCGCGGAATTCGGACACGGGCGTGAATAGTGCTTTGAAATTGAAGACGACTGCTGCCGACAGAGGCAGACGTCTCAGCGTCTGCCAATCCACTCGCAGATGGCAATCTGCCAACTGCAGGCTGGGGTCTTGAGAAAAACGAAGTTTCTCATGAGGATCCCCTGGGGGCATATACAGAGGCTGTCCGACCTCTAGACCCCAGGACCCTCTCTGAATTGGTTTATCTGCTGGCATTTTGGTGAAGAATCTAGTGGAGAACTTGTCAGCAACTCCTTGGGCTTGCCACTCTCCTTGTAGCTTGGACCTACCGATCCATAGAGAATTGCATCTTTTCCTTATAGTCCGGAATCGGCTCATGAATTTGATGGAGCTGAAGCCCTATTTTCGATCCAACATTCCATCCCAGAGCAGAGCAAACCACTGCCGCGCGGAGGAAATAGAAGCCTGTCTCCTCATCGCGCAGCATGATCGCAAAGTCTTCGGGTACGTTGTCGAGGAGAATCTCCAAAGGATGCTTGGCTTTGATGTCTTGCTCGGTGTCGAGGATCCTGTTCTTGAATATCCTCTTGCCCTCTAATGAGAAGTACTGAGGATACCGGGCGCACAGAAACTGCAAGACCATTTCCATCAATTCCTTGCAGGCTAATTCAGACCCTGGAAGATAGCCGAGCACTGATGAGCCGTGTTTAGCGTATAATTCCTTGCGTTGCGCGATTCGAGCTTTGTATGTGCCTTCGAGCTCAATCCACCAGTCCGTTTCCATTTTCTTCAGTGCTATACGCAGGGAAATACCGACTGTCAGCTCCTAAATCTGCTTGCGGGGGTGTCCTAGTGGACGGTCCGTTGCTGGTCAGGCAGGCTTACACATGGTTTGATGGTATGTCCACCGGAACGGACGATATGGCCTCGGTAGGGCTTTGTCAATGACAAATTGATGGTATGGATTGGGCAAAGGCACACCACTTAGGGCTGCATAGTCCGGGAAGTCTCCTAACTTTTTGATCTCCTCTATTGAGAACCCTGTCGGAGTATACCTTTCTTCTTGACAATTTCGGTAATCCATTGTCATCGGCAGAATGAATCGTCTGACTTCGGCTTCGTCAATCTCTTTCGACTGTACCGGGCTCTCTCGCAAGGCAGCGAGGGCCTGCCGACGCTGTGGTGGTAAAACATCGGCATAGTTTACTTGGGACACGGAACCGATCCCTGGCTTCTTGTCGGGTGATATAGATCTTGGAGGCGTTGCAGCAGCTGACGTTTTGCGGCTCCGAAGACTTATTCTCGGCCAGACTTCCCTGCGTTGGGATCGATCGAAGGTGAAATAAAGTCCAACGAGCGCAGCCACGGCCAGACCAGACAACCACCAGTCACCGAGCACACCGAGTATCTGCATCCTCATGTGTCTAGTGAAGCGATATATAAATGAAAAAAGACATACAACATGTGGCTACGCCTGTTCGACAAGGGCAAAAGTGGCCACAAGACTTATGAAAGGGGTTATATCTGTAAGGGCGTCTTCTGTGGTATAAAAAAGCAATTAAGCACGTATACGAGAAGTGTGATCGAGCAGGACTTCTCTTTACTTCGTGTTTCCAAAGATATGCTCTGTCGTGACCTGCTTGAACTTACTACGTTTGGTGCGGAGAAGCAGATATCAGATGAGGATGAAGGTGAGAGCAACATGATAAGACCATAGCATTGGTTAGAATAAACCTTCGGATCCGATTTCTTATAAGGTAGTGTACTGCGACCACGTTAGCGTTGACCACTCAGCTTTGTTGTAGCAGTAGCAACATCAATCAGGATTGCGCTGACTGCAGGGGGAAGACAAAGCGCAGCAGCCGCATTTCCCAAACGGGCAAAACTGTCCCGGTAGGTCATGTGCTTTGTTTACATCATCATCATCAGTCACTGCTCCCCCAACAATGCTTTGTGGTCTTTGTCTTGCCTGGGCTTTCACGTAGATTCATTCATTTACAATAGAGAGACACCCTCTTACAGCGCATGTCTTGATGAAGAAAGAGGGACATTGATTGGCTAACCATCAAGGATGAGGTTTGACTCTTTGTCACGTCGTCGTGGTGCAGCTACTTTCGAAGCCTTCGATATCCTTGAGATACATCCTCTTTCCCTTGGTTTGAGGCGTTCATTCCTCTCTAGTCCTGAAACATGTACAAAGCCATTGACAATCTCTTTGTTCAACGGGCAAGGGGATGTCCCGAAGACGATGAAAGGACAAGGTCTTTCTTTCGGTAATTGCTCGAGTTTCATCTTCGACGTTGAAGACGCCGTTGAGGAAAAGATTTTGCCATGGAGAAATCTGGTTTGTGAGACTTGCAGTCTTGCAACGTCCCTTGAAGAGTCTTTCATTCTGAGCCTTCCATGGTGTGCAGCAATGAACAATGTCTCTTAAGAATCTTTGTCAAGGATCTCCAAACCCTCTATTGTACTCACAAGTTATTGTCTCATAGTAGTGCAGGAAAGCAGAGAATACATTAGGATGTCTCACTTGGAGGATATAAAGCAAGTGCGAATGCCCACAGATGTGCCTTGTCTTTTTCAACCAACATATCACCCGGCCGTTCAATAATCACCCAAAGATACTCTATACAATCCGCGCAGTTGACCACCTCCATTAACATCTTTCAAGCAGATAGTGGCTCCCTAAGCAAAAATGCCACAGCTTGAGCAGTTGCCGATGGAACTCCTCCTGGAGATCTCTGACCACCTGGATCCTCTATCAGTGGCCAGTCTCGGCCAAACCTCCCGGAGGCTCAACGGTACGTTGCAACGTCCCCTGGCCAGAGCTGCCAAGCAGTATGCCCTCGCTGAAGAGGCTGAGTACAAAGAGCGAATCACATTTCGCGAGGATGGAAAGGGTATTCTTACTCGGAAACGGACGCAGAGGATGCCTTCCCAGCCGCTCGTTCAAGCCATCCGGCGTCATCAAGTCAACAAGGTAAGGAACTACCTAGAAGCAGGTGTCGACCCGAACGCATATGACTTGGACGGACACCGCATGCTTTCACTGGCAGTCCGCGCCAAGAACGAGCCAATCGTGGACCTTCTGCTTGAGCACGGTGCTAACCCTGCTTTGAACGACGTGTGCGCACCATATACCTCGCCTGTCCTCGACGCAATAGAATTGGGCGATGATATGGTCAAAAAGCTGATAAGTATAGGAGCCGATTATACTCAGGTAAGGGTCATACACGCCCTCGCTGGTCGTTGCAGTCTGGATGTCATCAAACTCGCCATTGACAAAGGTGCAGATTTTAGACAGACCAGTCTTGATGGCAGGACAGCGATCCATCACGCTGCAACAAATGCTAACCACCCAGATGTCCTTGAATTCCTCGTTGGAAAGTACCCTGAGCTGCTGTCCACGCAGGCTGCCAGGACATTTCTCTGGTCAGCCATCTATAACGGCTGCGCCGAACTCGTCAAAACTCTCATCACAGCCGGTGTTGACATCGCCGGCGACACCACCGTCCACGCTACCCTTGCCAGTCGTTGCAGTTTGGATGTCGTCAAAGCCGCCATTGAGAAAGGCGCAGACTTTGGACAAATTAGCCCTGATGGCAGAACTATGATGCACTATGCTGCGACAAATACTGACCACCCAGATGTCCTTGAATTCCTTACTGAAAAGTACCCTGAGCTGCTTTCCTCGCAGTCGACAATGGGCAAGACAGCTCTGTGGTCAGCGCTCTACGAGGGCAGTGCCGAACTCGCCAAAATTCTCATCACAGCCGGTATTGACATCAACGTTAGGGACCACGCCGGCAAAACCGCCCTCCACGCCGCCCTCGAATTCAGCCATCAGGCGTTTTACCAATCAATGGAATATGTTGGCCGAGAAATCGCGGAGAGAAGTTTATCGATCGCAACGGTGCTGCTCGAGCATGGAATCCAGGTCGGTATCCCCGATCAAAGGGGCCTCACAGAGCTCCACCATGCGGTGCGCCAGAACGGGCACTATTGGTTGCAGAAGCGCATGCCGAGTATCGTACGTCTGCTGCTTTCCAGGAATACAGTCGACGTCAACGCGCTAGGTCCTGGTGGCCTGACTCCTCTGCATCTCGCGGCTGAAGTCGGCTGGCTGAAGGTCGTGAGGATCCTCGTCGAGGAGGGCAATGCGGACGTCACGGAGACGGATAATTGTGGTAAGGCGCCTGCGCACCTTGCACAGAAATCCCCCGCTGTCTTGAAATATCTATTGCGGAGGGCAGCTAACA